AAGTTGCAATTACGAACATTGACTCGCAATTGCGGCGCCTGACAACCCGGGGGAAAGTCGCAACTGCACATCAACATCCGAGTCGCAACCTCTTGAATGACAACCATGCGTCCGAATCCTATCAAACCAACTCCGAATTGCACCAAATTTTGCGTACAATTTTCAAATAGAAAAACAGACCTATTCCAAGTTCCAAAATCAAAATTTGACCCCAATATCCCTAAAGTCAACCTATGGTCAAACTTAAGGAAATTCCTAAATCTCAAATTGTCAACTTTCGGGAAAATAAGTCAAATAAATCTAGGGACCTCTGAATTTAATTTCGGGCATACGCCCATGTTCTAAATCACAATACAAACCTATCGAAACCATCAAAATATCGTTCCGTGGTCATTTTCACAAAAGTCAAACTCAAGTCAACATTTTCAACTTAAGCTTCTAAACCAAGACCTAAAAGGTCCAAAACTTTCTTGAAACGAAACTAACCATCCCCACAAGTCATAAAACCACAAATACACATACGAAAAGCTTTTAAAGGGGAAACAGGGCTCAAATATACAAAATGGCCATTCGTGTCGCTACACATATATAATCATCACCTTGCATGTACGTCATCCACACACATAAATCAAGTAGCTAATAGGCCAATCAAGTCTTATTTGCTCAAGTCAAAATTAACCACGCCACTTACCTCTTTCTGGAATCAAATCAATAAGCAACCAAGGCATTTTCTTTAGAACAAGCCTTCACACCAATCAAATCTAGTCAAATATAGTTCAAACAATTCGAAAGAAGCTTTAGAAACTATCCATGAGTGAAAAAGACTCAATCTTTAATGAAATTTAAAAAGTCAATAAAAGTCAACCCCGGGCCTTCTTGTTCAAAATTCAAAATTCGGACCAAATCCCGATTATCCATTCACCCCCGAGTCCGGATAAGTTATTCATTTCTTAATCCGACCTCAATTCGAGGTCTAAACATCAATTTTATCAAATGTCTAATGTTTACCCAAAACCTGCAATTTCTACTTTGAAACTACTAAATTTAAGGTTAAAAATCAATGGATATTTATGGAAATACATCAAAACTAGTTGCAAATCCCTAACAAATGAAGTTTGGATGAAAACATCTTCAAAAAGCTCTCCAATATGTGCTCTAGGTTTCAAAAATGGTGGAAGATAATGAAATCCCGTTTTAGTTTTTTTATTTAACTAGGCGTCGGGTGCCCTTTGCATTCGTGGAGCACCTGTCGTATTTGCGAAGTACACAGGCTAATTGTCCTTCGCGTTCGCGGGGTCCTCATCGCGTTCGTGAGTGCATCACCCCAACCAAGCCTCCACGTTCGCGCCCAGTAGGTCGCGTTCACGATGTAGAGCCATCTTCTCTCCCCAGACATCCTAAAGCCTACGCATTCGTGAGGTTCCTCTCGCGTTCGCATAATGCATCCTTTCCGAGTCCCAAATTTCCCCTTCGCGATCGCGATCGCGGTAGTGGCTCCGCAATGGTGATGAATTGTGATACACCAGCAAAAACCAGTTAACTCTACATGTCAAATATCTAAAATAGCAAGTCTAGTCTGAGGCAAAATATAAATTAAGTAGTTAAACAAATAAGAATAACTAAAATATTACAATTTAAACATGGCGTGAGACTAAGTCTATCCGGACATAGTTAGGAATTCTAGCATACGCACGGAATCGTCATCTCATACCTGCATAGCTCCCAAACATGTAGCACATAACTAAGTAGCACCTATGGGGTGTTCTCTCACAAGGTTAGACAAGAGAGTTACCTCGCTCCGAAATCTGATATCCTGCTCCAACGCCTTTCTAACTCCTCAAACCAATGCCAAACGATCCGCAACTAGTCAAACAACGTACAAACCAATTAAAATATACTCAAAGATTCGTAATTTAACAATTAAAATCATTTCACAACTCCACACGAAAAGTCAACAAAGTCAACCCCTCGGGCCCACGTGCCCGGATTCCGAAATTTTTCAAAGATAACAAATTACCCATAGCAGTACGAACTCAAATATATAATTTATTCCCAATTCCATGTCTAATTTTGTGGTAAAAATCCAAAAATACTATTTCTAGGTTGTCTTCCAAAATCCCATAATTTCTTCAAATTTTCATGTTCCAATCCATATATAGTCAATGTATATAACTCACAATGAGTGGGAATCACTTACCTTATGATAGATGATGAAAATTCCCCTTCAAAATTGCCCCAGAACCGGCTCCAAATCAGCAAATGAGATGAAATAAGCCAAGTCCTGATTTGAATTTCCTATACACTTCCAAGGCATTACTCTTCGCGAATGCGGCATGTGCCTCACGTTCACGAAGCACCACTCAGATCCAGCTCAAAAATCCTCTTCACTATCGCGAGATAGGACCCGTGAACACGATGCCTTAACAAGCCTGACCATCGCGAACGCGACCTTGACTTTGCGAACGCGAATGCCAATTCTCCATACCCAGCTCCCCTCCTCAAACGTGACGTACTTGTCGCGAACGCGATGTACCTCTTCCCCCAAACCTTCGCGAATGCAGCTTCTCCATCGCGAACGAGATGATCAAACCACCTCCAGCAAAATCCTTCATCGCGAACACGTGTTTCCCACCGTGTTCGCGATGAACAAAACCAGAACCAACAATTATGCAATGTAAAATCAAAGGGAATTGTTTTGAAACCATCGCGGAACACGTCCGAGCTTTTGGGACCCCATCCAACCATACAAGCCAGTCCCAATACCTTATTCAAACTTTTCCAAAGGATCGAAATACCACGAATAACATCAAAACCACGAATCGACGATCAAAATCCTTCTTTTAAATTTTAAATCTTCAAACTTCACCGAATGCGTCCGGATCATACTTAGACATTCTGGATCAAGACAAACTTCACACACAAGTTTCAATCCACTAAATGAACCCATCCAAGGCCCCAAAATACCCCCCTGGAGTCAGATAATACTGAAATCCACTCCAAGTCAAACTTAGCAAATTTCAAAACCTTAAAAAATACAAACTTCCAATATTAAGCACTGAAACGCTCTTGGACCATCTGATACTCAACCCGAACATACGCCCAAGTCCGAAATCACCTTACGAACATGTAGGAACCTTCAAATTCTGATTCTGGGGTCATTTATACAAAAGCCAAACATTGGTCAACTCTTCCAACTTAAAGCTTCCGAATGAGAATTATTCTTACAAATCAACTTCGAACTTCTCGAAAATCAAAACCAACCACATGTGCAAGTCATAATATATAAAGTGAAGCTACACAAGGTCTCAAACCATCGAACGACATGCTAGAGCTCAAAACGATTGGTTGGGTCGTTACACTATACAGGTGATTAGCGAGTATCATTTATAATTCTTGCTTTTATTACCTCGCCGAGGTTAGTTATGATACTTGTTAAGTACATGAGGTCTGTTGTACTCATACTACACTTCTGTACCCTGCATGCAGATCTTGGAGCTGAGATGTTGTGAATGACGGGAGTTGGCACTGAAGACGTACCTGTTTTCCGGATATAGCTACCACTTGTTCTTGGTAGTTTTAGATTTGTAATATGTTTATGCCTATTCAAAACAAATGTTGTTTTTATGTTCATACCATCTTTCTAAATCTAAGTCTTAATGGCTCATGACTTGTACTACCAATCCTTGAGTTATTGTATTGAATTTAAGATATTTCACTTATTGATTTCTTGTTATTCTTATTAGAATTGTGTTGACTGTAATTTGGCTTACCTACTGGTTTGGGTTAGGTGCCATCACGATGAATTTGGGATCGTGACAACAACAAAAGATCAAAATAAGTTGGAAAATCCGAAATCCAAATTCATTAGGATATCTTATTTTTGTTGGATTTGTAACTCATTTATGCCTCCACGGATGATACAACAATTATTTACAAATATAAGTAATCTTGGTGACTCATCTGAGTGCTCAAACGAGCAGACGAAATTGAAGTGCAAAGAGAAAATAATTCCACTCCCATGAAATTGCAGAAGAGAATGCATGTTGATTCCTCAATATGGTATGGTGAGATAATTAGATATTAAAGAGAACGAGTGTATTGTGATAAGTTTGAAATAGGTTGAATATTGCACGACCTAATTAATGAATGAGAAAATTAAGGAGTCAATACATTAAATCAATTAACAGAGATATATTAGGGATATGACACTACTAAAAAATAATGTAATTCTGTCCACTATTTCCGACCGATTTTAATTAGTCGGAAAAACGATGGTCGAAAACTTCAAAGCGTTGACTGACTATCAAACTTTAATTTCCGACCGAAATCTGTCGGAAATAATTAAATATTTTTTTTAATTTTCAAATTTTCGACCGAAATTTGTCGGAAACTATTAATATTTTTTTTAAAAAAAATTATTTTCCGACCGAATTCGGTCGGAAATTTAAAAAAATAATAATTTTAATTAATTAAATAATTAGTTATAAATTGTAATAAATTGTTAATTTATTTTAAAAAATAAATATAAATTCATAATTTCCGACCGAATTCGGTCGGAAATTTCCATAAACTGGAGAATTTATTTGAAATTTTCGACCGAATTCGGTCGGAAATTATTAATTTCTGGGCAAAGAAAATTAAATTCCGACCGAATTCGGTCGGAAATCTGGGTAAAACCTCGGCAGAAAATGCCTATTTTTGAGCTACACCACCTGCCAATTACAACCAATATTCATCCTATAATGGCAGCATTACATTGCTGCCATTCAACCATAATTAATCAACAACAATGAATATACTAACAACAACAATAATAACAATAATTAACTAACAAAAACTATTAACTAACACTAACAACCATTATCTAACAACAACTAATAACAACCACAACAACTAATAACAACCACAACAACAACATACCATTTAATATTTTGTTTAATAACAAAATAACAATATAATCATCGTTCAAAATTAGTCTCAACTAAATATTGACAAGTTCAATACTTTGTTTAGCAATACACACCATTCAATGAGTTTTTTATTTAGCGTCATCTCTATCTTCACTCCTAGAACCTCCATCATCGACACATGGGGAAGGATCACGAGACCAAGGAATGGGGAAAGCACCACTAGCAAGAAGATTGGCCAGCTGACCTTGAAGGAGATTAAATTATTCGTCCCTCCTTTCTAGCTGAACTTTAAGGGTACCAAATTGTTCATCTCTCTTTTTTTCTCTAGCCTTTGTCTCTTCAAGCTCTGCTGTCAGCTTTGCGATCTTCTGTTCCATAGACGATATAGTCGACCTATCAATCGCCTCGCCTTGGGCGGAAGTCCTTATACCTTGCAATCCAGCCCTGTAGCGCCGAAATGATTTATCTGGAAGGTCGTATGCTATCCTCTTTTTAGGACCATCGACAACATCCAAACATATTCTCTGCGCTTCTTCGTCTAAAATGGGCGGTCGCGCGCCTTGTTCATTCGGTGGCAAGCTCTGAGTGTACTCCACCAAATTAATCTTGTAGCGACCCTTTATTTAGAAGATAGAAAATTACTAACTATATAATATTATAAATATTTATAGTAGTTATGAAACTTACATGTGTAGTCTCTGCCCGGTCCTCGAACCATCTAGTTGGATCTGTCGGTGCCTTCTTCTTCCGGATGTGAGTCTCCATGAAGAACTCATCATGACTCATCTTCCTCCCATATTATATTTCCTACAAATATAATAAAATGTGTTAATAAAATTAACATATATAAATATAGTTCGATAAAAATAGACCGAAATATTTTATGGAATTACTAGTTGTCTCCTCGTATCCCACATGCTCCTTAAACCCAGACAGTGCAAGGAGCCACCCTTCTCAGATGCTCGGGCCTTCTTTCCCAGTTTACTCTGCTTCTCAAATTTCTCGGTGTCACAATACCTTTGCAGATCCACCCATACATCCGGTAGAACCCATGAAGGCTTCTTTTTAACCTTTCGAGCGGAGCTGAAGGAATCAGAGAGTCTCTTACGTCATTTGTACTCCCAATTTTTACAAATTTCACGTTTATACCGATCCTCCCAGGTACACTTAGTCTGCAAATAAAGTATGTAACGTTAGATGAAAATATTGTTAATATAATGCTTAAATAGATAAGAATTGTATTAAAACCTTAAATTGGTTGAACATTTGCTGCACAAGATCCTCTGTAAAGTCACTCCAAGTCGGATAAGGTGCATTATACAACCCGCCAAGAATATCAGTGATTATCTTTGTAACCTGATGATTAGGAATGAACCTGCAACATAGAAATTACATTAAATAAAGAAGAGTAGTTATTATAATTCAGCAAAAATAAAGAAGTAATAAATAAATCTTACCCATTTCCCTTAGGCCTGATGATGATCCTATGATAACGATCATAACGCACATCATCTGGATCATCATTCTCCGATGAATCTGAAGTGTGCGCAGAAGGGGGGCATCTGGCTCAGTGCTACTATCCCGAAGACGAAGTCTAGAAATGCTAGGAGACGAACTCCGTGGAGAGGGAGACGGGGTCCCTGATGAAGATGGCTACGATCTACACCCCTGCATCGATCTAGACCCCTATTGCGATCCAGACCACTATTGTGATCCGGCCGGCTGAAATCTAGATGGATGCGATCCAGTTGGAGATGAAGAAAATGGAGCAGATGATGGGCGTACCATATGGCTCTGTGACTGGTGACTCAATGCACCCATGTTAGTACTGGTAGGATCATGAAGAAGAAGCGGGGTATAGCCCTGTGGCGGAGAATAGTGATAATATTGTTGGGCGGGCGAATGGTGGGTAGTATGATGAGTAGATGGATGTGGTGGAATGGATGCAAGTGTGGAGTGGAAGGAATCGTGGGTGTAGCACCATCATCATGATCAATAGGCCTTTTATCCTTCCTAGACCTACCTCGACCACTACCGGCCATCTGCATAAATTAAAGAAAATGTTAGAATTGAGAATATAAATCTATATAAGTTGAGAGCGCTTGAAAAAAATAACATGCTAGTCGTCTTCGTCGACGTATCCTTCCTAGTCTGAAAATCCTTCCTCTTCACTTATTTCATTTTCATTAGGTGATTCTTCATCCTCATTTTATATGATTGTTATTTCCTCCATATCAACTTCTTCTAATATGCGTTGAGGGTGCTCCAAGTAATTTTCTAACTGATCATCCACCATTTGGTTAACACTTGAGGTATCGTTTTGGTAAGCAACATCTAGCACATTCTCAACTTCCACCCTACCAACAGGATTTGTTTTGATTACAAACAACCAATCAGCCTTATCCCTCCGCAATGGATATGGAGCATAGTACACTTGCCTAACTCTTTCTGCAATTATAAAAGGATCATAGCGATCATACTCCCTCTTTTTATTAACCTCAATTATGTTGTACTGCGAGTGTGCATTTGTACCTCTTCTAGGTGTTGAGTCAAACCACTTGCATCGGAAAAGTATGATCTTCTTATTTGGCCAACCTGAATATGACGATTCTTTGATCACACCATAAAAATCATTTTCCCCATCCTGGTTGCCTTCACCACCTTTGACACACACCCCACTGTTATTGCTTTTTTTATACTTGGAGCATTCCTCAGTGTGAAATTTGTAACCATTCATATAATACTTAGACATAGTCGTAACCGTAGGTGCAGGTCCCCAAGATATGTCTTTCAAAAATTGAAAAACACAGTTGTTTGAATTATTGACCTACATGTAGGGGTAAATAAATCACAAGTGAGCAAGTATATTTACAAGTATGTATATTCACATGTGAGAAAGTATGTAAGATGCACTTACACACTCTTTAAACTATGCCTCAAATGTAGAATATACAGCACCATGACCAAATTGACTCACGAAGTCACTGAGCGACGCATTGAAAATTATTTGTTAGTTGTATCAACCAAATTAAATAGTAGCCTGTGTAAATTAATCTTACGTCAACACTTACTTAAGAAAGGGTTGAACTTCCGGACAATTTAGCAACACATGATTTGAAGCTGATTTGTACTCCATACTACTTAGGCCCCTTTTTGTTCGATCTTTAGAACCTCGGCCTGGTTGATTGAATACGGACATTGGTGGATATAATGGATCAATCTCAATCATCACATTGTGCCGATTGGGCCTATTTCTAGCACATGGAACATGACTGTCAAAGTAGTAAGAACAAAAATGGGCAGTTTCCTTTGCAAGATAGGCTTCGCATATGGATCCTTCAATCCTATTCCTCTTTTTAACAAATCGTTTACACTTGCCGATAGTCCTGCATATTGTCATATTAGACGATAACGTTAAAGAAAATTACAAAAATAAATCAAGGTTTGATCATTACCTCTCGAATGGATACATCCACCTGCATTGATCTGGGCCTCCAAGTCGCGCCTCGTGTACAAGGTGAATTGGAAGGTGTTCAATCACATCAAAGAAACCATATGGAAAAATCCTTTCCAGCTTATTACGGATTACAGGATTGTTCCGATTCATTTGAAATAGGTTTTCTTCCCTTAATGTGGTAGAACACAAGTCTTTGAAGTACAAACTTATCTCTGTGATGGGTTTCCATATATTTTCAGGCAATCCACAAAATGCAATAGGGATTAAGGTTTCCATGAATATATGACAGTCATGACTTTTCATATGAGTCATCTTTCCCTCAACCATATCGGCATGTTTTCCCAGGTTCGATGCATAGCTCTCGGGCATCTTTAGGTTTGTAACCCACTCACAAATCTGTCGTCTTTGTTCCAAAGTGAATGTGTAGCTGGCCATGGGCTTGAACACCTTACCATTGTTCCCAGACTACAAATGTAATCCAGGTCGCCTGCAATATTCTTGTAAGTCCAGTCTAGCATTAGGGTTATCTTTTGTCTTATTCTTATCATCCATCATTGTGTTGAACAAATTGTCAAAATAGTTCTTCTTAATATGCATGACATCAAGATTGTGCCGAAGAAGATTATCCTTCCAATATGGCAACTCCCAAAATATGCTCTGTTTTGTCCAGTTATGAGTAACACCATGTCCAAGAAATCTAGAAGGTGGGGCCTCGGTAACTTTAGTGAAATTCTGAACCCTCTCCCAAATTTCCTCACCGGAATAAATTGGAGGTGACAAATCATGTTCAACTGTATTATTTTTGAATGCGTTCTTCATCCTTCTGAACTCATGATCAACTGGCAAGAACTGACTATGACAATCAAACCATGACTACTTTCGGCCATGTCTTAAAGTGAACTCTTTACCATTTTCCATGCAGTAAGGACATGCTAACTTTCCGGCAGTCATCCACCCAGACAACATTCCATACACAGGAAAATCATTAATGATCCACATTAAGTTAGCACGCAAGTTGAAATTTTGCTTAGTTGATATATCATATGTCACAACTCCATCATACCACAACTGTTTAAGCTCATCAATTAGAGGTTGCAAATATACATCAATCAAACTCTTTGGATTGCGGGGACCGGGAATAACACAATTTAAACAAATATATGGACTATTCATACACATTTCAGGCGGAAGATTATACGGCGTAATAAAGATCGGCCAGTATGAATATGGTGTTGCAGAAACAGAAAATGGCGTGAAACCATCAGCACACAAACCCAACAGAACATTCCTCGGTTCACTAGCATAATCCGGATATGTCCTATAAAAATGCTTCCAAGCTTCCCCATCTGAAGGATGACACATAACACCGGGCGGCCTTCTATTTTCATAGTGCCATCTCATATGAGGAGCGGAACTCATCGATGCGTACAACCTCTTTAATCGATGAATAAGAGGTAAGTAATGCATCGACTTCACAACAGCTTTCTTCCTGCTGGAAAGCCGCTTAAAACGAGGTTTTTCACAAAATTTATAACTTTCTAAATCTGTATCACCCTTATAATACAACATGCAACCATCTTCACAACAATCGATTCTCATAGATGAGAGTCCTAACTTAGAAACCAATCTTTTAACCTTATATAAATCTTCAGGTATGTTGAAAGTTGGGTCAACTAGTTCACTCATAAGGCCAATGAAAGAATCCATTCCCGCTTGAGAAATATTGGTATCTGATTTGATACTTAATAATCTAACAGCAACAGACAACTGAGAGTGCATACTCCCTTCCCTTAGTAGACGACTAGTGGCCTCTAACTGTTCATAAAAATATTTTGCCTCTTCGTTAGGAAGTTGTTCAACACTTTCATGGGTTTCAAAATCGAAGTGCATCCCAAAAGCATCCACAACCATTTCATGGTATCTAGGATGTTGAATGTTATTCCCCACCGACTTACTATATTCACCAACAACTACGTTATGAAATATACCATCACTACCATCAATCTCTCCATGACTAGTCCACACAAAATAATTATCCATAAAACTTTTTTTATAAAGATGAGCCTTAACATCCTCCGATCCAAAAAAATACAAACACTTGCACTTCACACAAGGACACCTAATCAACCCTCCAATCCAAAACGGTTCAAGTGACATTGCATGCGTAATAAATTCCTTAACCCCTTCTATAAATTCCTCCCTCCAAAACCGTCGATTAGGATAATTCCTATTATACATCCAACTACGAGATTCCATCTACATAAAGAACGAATAAATTATATTAATCATAGTTCAAATTAATTTATAGAATTAAGTTACATAATAAACTTTAGTTACAATATAATTAATTTAAATAATTTGAGCGCTTATTGATTTGAAAGTCCATATATATCCCTAAATAAATTTTTTTAAATTCAATTAGACCATTAAAGGGAAATATAATTAAATGAAATAAAATTAGCTAACCCTAGTATTAATCATAATTAAAATTAGTTAAATTTAAAAAATTAAACCCTAGCATTAATCATAAATCATAGTCACAATATTTTATTAATCACGCCTAAATCAAGTTACGAATGTTTATAAGTTGCTTATTCTAATTTTGGATTATTGTGGGTCATGATTTATGGATGAGAAATTATTGTGGAAGAAATAGCATGATTCGGCCAATACTAGTATTGAGAGGGTCATTTATACTTTAGGGGGCTATTAAAGGTTATAACTTGATAAATTACCAATATTCCAACTTGAATTATTTAACGTCTTGGGCCTTGGTTTCCACCTAAGCCCAATCAAATTAAAGCGACCTGGTGTTTACTTATTCAATTACCTAACTTACTACCCAAACTGCATAAGAAATTGTAAATAACTTCATGAACTATCAAAGTAATAATTTTTGAAGTCAATGACTTATTCATACTAACAGTAAATCACAATCAACTCCAACTATTAAAACTAAAAATAATAGTTGGAGTATCAAATCATATCAGCACATACCAACTTATATACAGAACAAAGCATATCATGTAAGAAAAAGAAAAAAAAACTAATCAGGATACACATTTCAAAGCATTAGCACAATTTACTCGTAACAAGAAAAGAAAAGAGAAAGAAGCGGACCTTAGTGTAGCAAGATTTCTTTCTTTAATATATTAGAACCTCAAAAATATGTAACAACAATAAATTTTGACGAAGCCCAAACGATAAGTTGTGACTGGTTTTGTGTTGTTTTTTTTTGGGGGAGGGG